ATTTTTCTTTAATAAACACATATATTTTATCTTATATCTTATCTTATTTTCTTCTTGCTCTATTGAGAGAGTATTTTATTATAAGTAAAATTCACATATATTATCTTATTAAGAAGATAATCATATTTTTATTATAAGTAAAACACGTATAAATTATCTTATTGAGAAAATAATCATATTTTATTAGAAGTAAATCTTATACATATCACCTTATTGAAAGAATAATCAGTCATATAATCTCTTGAAGTTATAAAAATTAATAACTGCCATGAACACAGTCATTATTACCATTTTAAAATAATTACATACGCATAATCTTAAAATGATAATAATATATTCTAAAAAACTATTATGTTATTGTTATTTATAATTATTAATATCAAAAAGACTAATATGTCACTTGATATTGAAATGATTTTTAATATTAATAAAGTAGCTAATATGAATATTAGTAATAATAAGCTTGATAATATGCTTGATTATATTTTGGATATGACAGATAGAGTTGATCAGATATGAGAAATAGTAGATAATAATAATATAATAAATGAAGAATTATGAGAAATAGAGAAAGTTAAAATCTATTCTTTTCCAGTAGCAGAATATGAGAAATAGATTAAAGATTTCAGAAAAGCAGAACTTAACTATATTTTACATAAACATTAATAATAGCCTAGTATAAGAAATAAAAATAAATAGACAGAATAATAGCAATATTATTATTATAGAATGTATAAGAGTATTGCTAAAAAGAATTTCTGCAAGAAATCATGACCTGCATAAAAAGAAACAAAAAAATATGAGTGTAAAAGTTATATTCAAGTTGTATTTTTCATTAATTCTTCAATAGTAATCTTAAGATATTACTATAAATATAATAATTATTATTCTAATTAATTATCAAATTTGTATATACTTTCTTTTTCTAAAAATATTTGACAATTCATTTGATAATATACTCTAAAAGAACTTGATACTTATAATATATAATGACTCTTGCAACATTAAGCAATTAAATTTTAGAATCAGATATAATTATTAGAAAGAGAAGATTATGATAATAAAAAATTTTCAAACATTCAGCTATTGTGAGTTATGCTAATAATAAAAAATGACATTTATACAATTGTGCATGATATAATAAAAGTATATTTTTATTTTAATGAAGATAAGCTAGAGTTTCTGAATAAATAGCAGGTGAAGTTAATTATTACAAATAATTATTATTTGTTTGAGCATGATAATAAAATAGTTGATATAGAATTCATATTTACTTTTTAAACAGAAAAGCAAAAGAAATTAATATAACTTGCAAAAGTTATATATCTAGATTAAAGATAGCTTCTCAATTATTATAACATGATAATAAATAAAGTATCATCTAGTTACAACTAGTTATAACTCATAAAATTTTGAAGTTGCAATATATTGTAACAGATAATAAATAAATATCACATACTTGCTATATCATCTTTAGTCTAAATAGTACACATAAATTAAATTAATATAAATATTATCTTTTTATATTTCTCATATGGCATCCAATAACAGAAAATGATATCTGATTACATTTCTCATTAGCAAGTTCAAGTAATTTATTATATTATTACCTTTTTGATACAAGTTCTAAAATGAGAATGAGTATTAAACCTAATATTATAAAAGCATGTAATAAAAGTGACCATGTATTTAAAGTGATGTTTGAGAGAGTCTTTAAAAGATTTATTAACAAGAATGTATCTATTATTATTTCAAAATTAATCTAAAGGTAGGTAATAATAGTATTCTTGTTATGACTAGCTAGAATGTAGTCTAATTTAAAAATATAATTTCAAGATAGATGTAATATTTAGTTTATTAACAAGATGAAATAATAGATCTTAATTAAGATCTATTTTACAAGAGAGATTTCTTAGAATTCTCTTAAAACTATAATCTACTTAAATGTAAATTGAGAATTAAACTTATAGAACTCAAACTAAACTAAATAACTAACTAATTAACTAAGCTAACTGACTATCTAAATTCACTAGCTAAGATACATCACTTTTATATATTTTAGAGGTTATATGAATAATACTTTTGTTATGATACTTATGCTAGTTTTACTATGATCTAAATATTACTTTAGCTAGTATCATAATATTGATTTTGTTATAATAGTATTATTAGTTTTGCTGTGATAGTTTTGCTAACTTTGCTATGATAATTTTGCCATGATCATTGTATTTGCAAAATCTTCTAAAAATATCTACAAATAATATTTTCTAAAGCTAATATCCAATAAGATATAAAAAATTATTTATTCAATCAAATTGTGATATGAAGTAATCAATAAAATATAATTAACTAATTTCTATTAAAAGTTCATATCACAACAATATTAAAAAAATGACTTGATTTCTTAAAAATCAAACATAAGAAATAGAGTTCAGATATTTTTATAGTTGATGATGTGAGAGAAAAAATTAAAGCAGTCAAGAAATACTTTTCTAATAGTACAGTTTTGCTATATCATTTTTATATGCTGAGATCTTGATGCAGAAAATTGAATAATCATAACAACATAAATACTAATCTATATAAAATAATCATTTGAAAAGATCTTTGATAATTGATGAAAACAAAAGATTAAAAAGATAATAAAGTATAAAAGTAAGTTATAAAGATAATTGATAAATAGTGAAAATAGATAATGAGATGATAAATAACTTTGCTAATTATTTTGAATATTAATAGAAGCCAAAATATAAGAAATAGATAACATGTTTAAGAGAAATTATCAGAGATATGATAAATATGAATAATCTAATTAAGATATTTTATTATAAATTAAAATACATATATATGAGAGAATGATCAGGATGACAGTTGGATAGTGAAGTATATTTACTTATAGAAATTATACTTTGAGACTTAGATTTCTCAGTTTTTTTAGATGACTTAAAAATTAAAAGAATGAATCTATGATAATGATAATAGTGAATCTAGAAGATTGCAAGAATCATATATATTAATAAAAATGATATTTATAATCTTAACTCAGATACTTGGATAGTACATTCAATAACAAATAATAATATAGAGTATTCTATTTGAAAAAGAAATCTTATAGATAATTTAGATATTATTTCATATATTTACTCTTGTCATGATTTCCAAGTATAACAATTATTGTATAAATATATCTTTACTATTCTGAGTCAATTTTGAGTTCATGATAATAGTATAGAGAATGATCAGTGTATCTAATATCAAATTACTAAGATAAATGATGTGATCAGAAAGATAATTGATGAAATTATCAAGATTACTGAGACAAATAGCAAGATTACTAAGATTAATGATGAAATTATCAAGATAAATAATGAGAATACCAAAATAAATGATAAGAATATGAAGTTTAAGAAGTTACAAGAAGAGTTTGAAGTAATTGCTGCAGAATAAAAGAATAAGAAGAAATAAAATATAATTTATAATTAACTATTCAACAAGCTATTTAAATAAAAAGAATTAGAATTATAAAGACTGAAGCTATGCTAAAAGTTACTAGTGATAATGAGCTAAAAAGTTTTAATATAATACCAAAAACAGAATTTAAAGACAAAATAGATTTTGAAATCTTTATCTTGCTTTACATACTTTAATAAATTTACACTTTACACTGCATAACTCATTTTACTAGTCACTCTGATCCACATGATAAGTGGCGCCACCAATTTCACCCAATCGGAGATTGGGATCTCCTCTGACCAATAGAAACTTCGGGTGAAATTAGTAAATGTCTCGCGTGATACATATTCTCGAGATTTTATTGGCCACAAAAATCGTCACGATTGATTGGTCATTTAAAAACAAATTATAACTTAGTCTTTGGTGCTTCTAATTAAAAATATTCCTTGCAAAATTTTTACATTAGATAGTATCTTATTTGATTATATTTTTTTCTAAAGCTATTTATTGAGGTTGTTACATCCTATCAATCTTATGTCCACAAGTTAATTTGGTGATCGGCCCCCGAGGAAATTATCCAAGGTTGCGTGGGATGAAACTCACAATGCAAGACTCCTGGAGAAACAAACGAGTCATAAATAAAAAGAGAAACACAAAATAAATAGGATAATTCCAAATACGCACCAAGACTATCAACTATGTTATGTCCACCTTTCAAAATCTTCACTGGCACAATTAACGGATTCTGTAACAAGTCATTATACACCATCCCATGAAATATTTGTATTGAACCGTCGTCACTGCATGATGCGAATAGCGGAAATCTTTTGTGATAAGAAACACTTCGAATAGCCATTGAATGATATCTATATTTATTGGTAAGGAAAAGGGAAAAGAACATCTTCAATACTATTATAATACAAAATCAGAGACGCAAAAATAAAATAAATTACCTTAATATTTTGTAAGGCCGTGAGGACAAATCTAGATCGAACCAACATAAGCGTTTATCGTAACTACCAATGATGATGTTATCACCTATTTTATTTAATCAATGAAAAATAAAAAATGATTTTTATTTATCGAAAAGACATAATAACAGATATATTAATAGAATTACCCATAGGATGAACATCTAAGCTAGATATCCATTTTACGCCAGACTGTAATGTCTTCATCGCTTCTTGTTTAATCAGATTATAAACTCGAATGAATCTTTGAGTCTGATTATTATTCATGTTAGAAGATTAATTGATGACCATTAAAGAAAATGATCTTTTACTGTATAAACAATTTCTTTAAAGTTTAGCTATACTTACTGCTACAAAAAACAATGGTTTTATTGGATGAAACATGACACGTTGAACGATTCCTTTGATTTTGCGGAATGGCTGTTGTGTTTGGTGTTTTGTGAGTTGGTGAATTAGAATTCCTTGATTGCCAGCTAAAGTAATCGGCGAAAAATTAAAAAATATATATATATAAAAATTGCTACTACATAAATAGTAAAAATATTTTATACCATCAGGTGCCAAGGTAGCAAAATAGTCGCCTTTTCGATGCCAAGTAACTTGTTTAACAGTCTTCGAAATATTAAACGATAGTGATTATCCTTCATTATAATTATTATCACAAACAACAAAGATTAATAATTGATTTATTACCTTTGAATGAGAATGATTAAGAATCACAAGATACCCCGACTCTTTCTCTTGTTCTGTAGGTTGAACCCAATGCACATTCTTTTTTTTATCTGTAATTAATAGAGATTTGTTGACAAAATATCATTATACGCCAAGTTTAGGATGTATTATTTTTAATAAATATATAAAACCAAATATACCATCTTTCTGAGATTGATTGAACCCTGCTGTGACATATTGATTCGTGAATAAATACATTTCCTCGTCACAAAGTTTAAAAGGTGAGATAAAAGCGACTTTATTAGAGCTTTAATTAAAAAAAAATTAGAAATTAAATTAAGTCCATTACTTTATTAAAAAACCAAATAAGCAAAATAAAAGAACGGAAAATAAAACTTACAAAGCCACAATAAACCCACAAACATCTTTATTCGGACACCATGCAATAGAATGTACGATATCATCAACCGTCCAAGTATAAACACATCGTCCCGTAGTTATTTCCCACACCCTTATTGTTTGATCGTCAGAGCCGGACACTAGCCATAATCCCAGAGGGTCGATCGAGAAACAGCGTATGCGACCTGTGTGGCCTATGTATGAGAATGCGAGTCTTGTGGGGAATGGTTGGAGGTCTTTCGGGTTTGGAAGTTTTGGAATGAGAGATTCAGGGTCGATGTTAAGCTAAATTACAAATAATTCGAGAAAATATATTAGTAAGTTTAATATAATATACTACAGATACTTTTATTAAATTTACTTTATTCCGTCGAAGGCGTGGAGCCAAATAAAGGTCGAGACATCTATTAAAACGCTCGTGTATGAATCTTCCATATGCTGGAACAGCCCTCAAACTTGAATACCTAATAAATTCAACAACAGTTTAATAAATATATAGTGAGCAAAAGGCGAGAACTAGTAAGACATCACTCACTTCTGCGGCAAATAATTCTTCTCTCGATCCTCAGGATCCATCTGCTCCCACTCTTCCTTTTCTTTTTCATTCGGTAAATATTCCGCGGGTGGATTATAACTCTCGTCATGATCAGGAAGTTTCATTTTCGGTGCAGGTATATGCATCGGATGATCTTGTCGTGACTGGTCACTGTCAGCCCATAAATTATAAAATCGTGGTTTTTGTACTTGTGTATTCCCGGGAATTATTCTCCCTTCACGAATTGCGCGAACGATTTTCATGATCTTTATCGAAAATATCAAAAACAAAATCAAAAAAACCACAAATTATAGATTGATTAATTAATTACTAAATAAACAGTACCCGCTTCGCCTCCCATTTCGAGGGAACAAATCGTCGTTTAGGTTCCGGCGCCGCACTCAACGGCATCACTTCCGGCTTACTCGTGAACCATTCAACCATCGGTTCATATGGGTTATAATTCGCATCAGGAATTTCTTGCATTTGAATACGACGTATTATATCTAGTTCTTCGTCGGTCAATTTTACATTTTGTTGTGTAAGATCGTCTTTTACGGATAACCTAAATATCAAGAAAAATGATTTCAATGCATTATGGAAAATTATTAATTCAAATTGAATTATATTAAAAATACCAGTAATCAGGATCTTCCATTTTATCCAAAAACTTGTCCAACTCATCCCCTTTCGCGGGCTTCATTATTTTTTTCCCGTCCATATCGTACCCGATATGCGGGTAATCATCGTACCACTCCATCGGAATATTACCAACAGTGTTTGGCGGCTGTTTTAAGAAAAATATACATTAATTACTCATTTCTAAAATTACGCATAAACCAAAAACTTGCCATTTCCGTTGATGTGTCGCTATCATAGATAGGATTTATTTCGGGCAATATTTTACGCGGATATCCGTTTGCACCGCGGACATAAACTTCTCTATCTTTTTCTTCTTGCTCTCTATCAAAGCCAAGAACTATTCAATTAGATTATCGGTTACTTTGACATATAATAAAATGTAAAAAACTACAATAATGAATTTATATTTACTCTTTTTTTTCTCCCAGGTTTCGCTCATTTTCACTTATATCAGAAACCTCATCATCATCAATTTCTTCGATCTGACTATCTTCCAAGCTATCTCCTGCGATATAATCACTATCATTTCCAACATCCAAATCCTCTCCTAAATCTGATTTTTCCTCATCATCATCCTCATTACTCTCTTCTAAATCTGACTTTTCGTCATCGTCATCATCTTCTTCTTCTTTAAATTTTAGACGGCCCAGAGTACTTAAAATCCTTTCAGAATTATCAGAGCTTTGAGGTTCTTCTTCCTCCTCTTCATCGGACTGCATATCAATTTGCAAATTATCAAATTTGTCGTCGTCGTCGTCGTCGTCGTCGTCGTCGTCGTCGTCGTCGTCGTCATCTTCTTCAACAATCTTCTTCCTATTATTGGTGGTTTCAATTTTACTTAATTTAGGAATTTCGGTTTTTTTGTTAGTTACCGTTTTTGAAGTAATAAGGCCTTCTTTTTGCGTATTATTTCTTTTATTAATGTCTTTGGCGAGCTCAACAGTATTTTTTTTTTGGTTGGGAGACTCGGATCCTGTTGCTTTCCTTTTTTTTGTTACCGAGATTATTTTCCTTCGCGCCATTTTAATCAAAAAATTTTTTTGAATTTTATTTATAATGTTCTATCTTAATAATTGGATCACGCAAAGAATGAAATACTATTTCAGCAATGGATTCTGATAATGTCAAGAACAGCACAGCTAATGTGCCCTTGAAACCCGTATTTCGCAGCGCATCAATAAAAGACAGAGAAAGCACGTTTATCGCGTTAGCCACTACAGTCACTGACCTTAACGAAGTTGAGGCATTCAAGGTTCTCGTGAGAGACCAAGAAAAAAATGCCACGCATTACGTTTTAGCGTATCGTATTTCTCAGGGTCAAAATGGAAATGTGTTGGAAGGTTTCGTATGGACACGTTCACGTCAACATTTTCTTTTTTATAGATAAGAATAGAATTCAGTTTTGCTATGATTTGATCTTTGATTATCATCTCACACACACAGGAAACGAAGATGACGGCGAAGACGACGCCAGCATCTTAATCCTAAACCTTCTGAAAACGCTAGAACTCGTAAACGTCGCGGTGATCATACCGCGATGGTTCGGCGGAATCTTTTTAGGTCCGGTGCGATTCGATTATTTTGTAAAGTGCGCGCGCGAAGTGTTAGATAAAGGAAATTTTAGCAATGCTAATAATAGTGGAGGTAGTGGAGATGGTGGAGGGGGTGAAACGTTTGCTACCCAAACCTCGTCGTCGACTAGTTCATTAGCAAACAAAAGATCTAGTGGTCCTATTATTGTGAATGGTGAACGACAGGTAACAACTTCGTCGCCATCAACTACAACAGATTAAAATAGAGTCTAAAAGATTGAACCGTTTTTTTGGAAGTTAACTCGTAATTTAAAAAAAGAATAGTAAAAATCGCGTGTGTATCAGTGCGTGAATTTTCTTTTTCAAACAATAATTTTCTTTTTAGAGAGGTAATCCGTTACTTCAATACATTAGAAATGTGCCATGGGAGTATGGTGAGATTGCGCCAGATTTTGTTGTTGGATCAACTACTTGTGCCTTGTTTTTAAGGTTTGCCATTGTCATTGTATTGACAATTACGATAAATCAAAGTAGTGTTTTCCGAACGTCACGATGTTTGTTTTTTAATGAGAAAATATTAAATTATAGTCTCAGATATCATCGTCTTCATCCTGAATACATATTCACGAGAATCCAGATGCTCGCGTATCAATTCAATTTACGGATTCTGCTGGTCTTGGTAGATGTTGTAAGTATGCCATGCTATCCTCATTTCGTTACTTTGAATAAAAATCAAAAATCTCTTCCTGGGACTTTTTTAATTCCAAATCTAAAACAAAACCAAAGGAAAGTCATCAAGATCCAATTCGTGAACTGACAAAGATAAGCGTGACTCATAATCTTACGATTATGCTTGCTTGGAGGTATTTAGATAAAATTCGGATTTTTATTTGATTGAATATAAATATACTGCAACAATTTTTATGTCTATTGTTTGTTTTGATGTGTCGATAACGAAAGTCAAGAAGAAGCAGCAAGATACCTCGAAACGTTCAAAGCGTTCGAGAACAGACCGCCGGATTCTATCATGGAAAAAGTGGATAATGATTATTATGCAAAGGTATTTTTTCTAACTATAAAATCATATTACCTCGTAACTTGAGCCTCCTTTTTTTATATAAATATATACACAACACGCATAGTTAACCCAATGCCTCACACAAATACGATCAGTCAACAAAACAGACGTTTTGACACTCTCATCGCAGTTTGGAGTATTTTGCATTCTATATTTTTCCTCTTCATCTTTCGTTTCTCCATCATTCAAACTTCTTATTAATACAAATTCTGAATTTTATTTCGCTTAGTCTCTCAAAAACATCATGTCTGCATCAACCGACGAGCTATCAACATGCCCCGGAATCGGTGATCAAAAAATAAAGCGACTCCAAGAAGCTTTCACGCAGCCATTCACGATGAACAAGAAAAAGAAGAAAAAACAGCATGTCTGAAATGGGTTGGAGTGGGAGAATTGGAATGGAAGGTGATACGAAAAAATAAAAGGTGTGTCTATTAGAAAAAATATGATCATTCTATGATTATGGGTTAAAGAAAAGAATAAATTAATTAATAGTGTGAGACAATGAAATTGCTCAAATCATCTAAGTAATGAAAGTGAATGGTTTTTAATTGTTCTCAGCAAATGCTGTTTCTGCTACGCTCGATGCCTCTTCCCGACCCTTTTGAACATCCAAACTATGTATAATTGGAATTGGTAATAATATTAATACTAGCAGCAGCAAGAATCCATATCGTATTTCATGTGTGACGTCTATTATTTGATTAATGTTTAGAAAAAAAGATTGGTGAAACAGACTTCCAAATACAAAGATTTCAATAAGAATCAGAAAACTGACCAGTTATGATCGCCACCAACATCGGTCCTAGCCAGCTAGATCCCTTATCAGTAACAGCATACAACGCAAAAAACTCTGTTTCTCTCCCACGCGGAATAAATTCTGAAAACAACGTCCGACAATATCCTTGTATACTACCCAACAAAAACCCAAAAAGTACTGCAAGGACGTACATCTCCGACGCGGATTTCAGTCCGCCAATGGGTAGTATGAATCCGAGACAGCCGTACATTGGGATAATTGAAAATAAAAAGACGAGGGTGATGACTGTTTGCTTTGTTGTTTGGTTCAACCATCGGGTTTGTAGCTTTGGCCAGATGATTGTTCCAAGTAGCGCGGAAATCGGGGTTATTAGGGCCATAAAGATTAAACCTGTAGGTGGTACTTGTAAAGTGGTTTGTGCGAATAATAATGATGCTGATGAAATTGTAGTATAACCTGCATTTAAAAAAAATAAAAATATTAAAATCAATCAAGATAAACTTGATATAATAAATGATTTAAATATAAATTATGTACCATCCGACAATAAAAACCATGCAATCAAAAATCGAAAAGCCATTGTTAAATTCTTCGCTTCTTTAACAGTCAACCACAAATGTTCCCACGAATACGCGACATAATCAAACCACCTCAATTTCTCCCCGGTAACATTTTTCAATGGAGGTCCAGGGCGATTTGGTAACCATCTTGACACTGCTAAAGTGACCAGACACCACCATGCGCCTGTGAGGAACACGCCAATCTGAAGGCTAAATATTGATCCATTGAGTGACATTGAAATTAATAAACACACGCTTAACAGAATGATTCCACCAAGATATCCCCATGAGAAACCTTGGAGGGAAATACGTGAACTTAATTGTTCTTTGGTATTTGTTAATTCTTCAAGGAGGTTGGTTAATTTCTCGTCTTTGGTTAATGATGATGTTGGTGAAACTCTCGTTGTTGTTCTTGATTCTTCGTCTTCATTAGCATCATTCAATAATGACACCTCTTGCTCCATATTCTCATTTACATATAGAATCTCTTCTGCTGCAGTACTTGCTGTTGTTAAGTCATCATCATCATCGTTTACCTTATTATTACTCCGTGTTTTAGTGCCAAGGTAATAATTAATCTCATTGACGATCTTGCGTACATCCGGGTGATTTCTAACCAGAACCGGTAAAAAACCGTTCAAGCACACGAACGACGCGCCAAAACATACGTTCGACAAAACAGCCACAAAAGCAAGCAACAAGGTGGGCACCAAAAACAACATTGTCGATACTGACCCAACAAACGAAAACGATAATAACAAAAATTTTCGCATTGTCCCATGATCAGCAACCGCCCCAATCGAAATCGCCGTAATCGCCTGCAAAAGAACACTCGATGAAAAAGTGTACATGCTAAATGCGGCCGTGTCTACGTAATGCCCGAGAATTTTCACCGCACATCTTATTTCCTCGGATTCTATAAGTGCCGTGGAGTTTGTGCATGGGGTGATGTAGTCGGAGGTTATTACGCCTTGCTGAGATGCTAGACGTTCAAGAATTAGACCCATGAAGGATAAAGAGATTACCGAGTAGACTTCAGCCCCGAACGCGTAGAATTTCCAGGAGAATAATTCCAGGTAGGTGGTTATTGGTTCTTTGGGGCTTAGTATCCACCAGTAATCCCGTGGTATTAGAAGACGATTATTATTACTATTGCTGTTCAACGAAAAACCACCATTTCTATCAGGTGGAAGTAGGCGTTGTCCAACGTCAAATGTACTTTCATTATTATTGCTGCTAGCGAAAACTGGTTCGTCTATTTCTGTCGTCATAATTATTTAGTATCTTATCCGAACAGCTTTATTTAATCTAATTCAAATAGATGATAGCGATAGTGCATGCGGTCAATTAACATTGACGATGCTAAATTTATTGATTGATCTTCAGGGTATCGTGAGAAAATTTGTCCCAAAGCGTGAGAAACAAGCCTTCGAACCAAAAAAACAATAGTGCATCACTTGCATCAATTATACGATTATACAGCTGTCAATTAAAAAAACTATCATATTATCATCGTTATGATAATGCCTTCCTCTAACCTCCCTATTCTTTTTGGACGTGTATTTTTTTTTGAAAACTATATTTGTAGTATTCAGAACAAACTAAAATGTCTTTGACACGTCTTCACCCGAACATTTGGCGGATTACTCCCAAACACAATAAGTACGGAGCTAATAATAATATTACTACCCTTTTTCACTTAAACTCTTACAAGTCTCGTTCGTTTGCAAATTTGATCACCTTCTACCATTGTCACCATTCATTGCTAAAAGGTTTAAAGCACTCGAAATCAAAATCATCGCTATCAAAGTTTCCAATTTCACAATCTATCTTACCTCAAAATCACTCTTACACCACATCCTCAAAATCAAATAATCAAATAAACTCCACAACTCTTGGATCCCGGAAAGATATTGAACACGTAACGGCAGCTTCAGTGTATACACACGATATCCCTTTGACCTCTGAAATCCCCTTAAACAACGATGTTCCATTGGCCACTGATATAAATGTATCAATAAATGCTGAAAAGCAAAAAGCTAGTTCCAGTAATAACGCGGATACAGAGCATCATGCTGTTGTTTCTACTTTTGATTTATTTTCAATTGGCATTGGCCCTTCTTCAAGGTTTTTATTACTTAAATTTTCTTCATAAGATTATAATAAACTAAATATTTTTTTTTGTTTGAATTAAGTCATACAGTGGGTCCAATGCGTGCTGCAAAGATATTTATTAATGATCTGAAATCGCATAGGGTTCTTGAAAAGGTATATAATTAATGTAATTGATATTTGTTTGAATTTTCGATTAACATCAAAAGAAACAAATATAGATCCATTCTCTACGAATAGATCTATTTGGATCACTTGCACTGACCGGAAAAGGTCACGGCACGCCAAACGCTATTCTGATGGGCATGGAAGGTGAAACGCCGGAAAACGTTGAAACATCCACCATATCATCGAGAGTAGAGTCAATCTACAACAATGGTATTGGTTATTTATTGACTTGAGAATTAATGATTATTATGGCATTTCCTGGAAATGTAAATTTCATATTGCCCGTTACACGTGTGAGTGACTTATAGGCATTCTTAATCTTGACGGATCGCATCCAATCCAATTCGAGCAAAAACATTTAGTCTTTCATTACTTCAAGTCGTTACCTCAGCATCCAAATGGTATGCGTTTTTGTGCATTCGATAAATATGGCGATCTGGTAATTTACCTTATTCTCTGATTTGCCTCATTACCACTATAATTTATTCTAAACAATAATATCAATAATTGAATTGACAGATTGCAACCAACGAATTCTTTTCCATAGGCGGCGGATTTGTAGTCAACGAAGCGACACAAATCCAACATGGCGAAAACCTCTTCTACAAAAGCTACAACAAGAATGCGATTTCCAAAACGCGTACACAGCAAGATATGGCCGTCACCACGGCTGCACTACCATTTAGGGACGCCGGAGAACTGTTAAGTGTGTGTAGACGCGAAAATTTGACCATTGCTCAGGTAGTATACGAGAACGAGTTACGATGGCGAAGTAAAGAGGAGATTTCGAAAAAAGTCGCGGAAATCTGGGATACGATGAACAAAAGTATTGAGAATGGGTGTTTTAGTGATGAAGAGTATTTGCCGGGTAAACTTCGAGTGAAGAGACGAGCGCCGGGATTGTATGAGAAATTGTTGAGAGGATTGTATTCATCGCCGGCGGCAGCTTCTAGGCGTGGTTATCGTAACGATATTACTATAAATCCGGGAGATGACCAGATTACGCTTCTGTCAACATCTGCAATTTTGCCACATCCGCTTCCGAAACGACAACCGAAACGATCGACGTTGTCTGCGTTGGAATATCTCTCTGTTTACGCTATTTCGGTAATCATCTATATTAACTGCTCTTAATATATTAAGCCTGGTATTAATTGTTTAAATAAATTATTTAAAGGTAAACGAAGAGAACGCAGCAGGTGGCAGAGTAGTTACAGCACCAACAAATGGAGCTGCAGGTTTGTATGTGCTCATGTAATTTTAAACAACACAATTAGTCACAACATTAATCACACATGAATAATTCATTTCCTCCATGTGTCACTTACGTAGGAGTAATCCCGGCTGTGCTAAAATACTATTTAGAATTCATTTCCACGGATCCGGAACATGATGTGATGGAATTCCTCTTCACCAGTGCTGCTATCGGGATGCTATATAAACGAGGTGCATCTATCAGTGCGGCTGAGATGGGATGTCAGGGCGAAGTCGGCGTTGGTATGGGAAATTGGTTTTTTTTTAACTCGAATTATTCAAGCATAGAACTTTGTCATCCAATACTATTCTTCTTGGAAAAGCTTGCAGTATGAGTGCAGCGGCATTCACCGCAGTGATGGGTGGTACTCCTGAACAAGGTATTTTACCTATAATACACAAATATAATTAAAACTTACCCCCATTATTATTTAAAAAGTATAATATGCTCATTCCATGCGTATGTATTTTTTGACAGTTGAGAATGCCGCGGAAATAGGTATGGAACATAATTTAGGATTAACATGTGACCCGATCGATGGTCTTGTTCAAATTCCGTGCATTGAGAGAAATGCATTAGGCGCTGTGAAGGTATGTGTATACTTGGTGATAAAATTTTCTCTTGAATAAGTTAACACATCAAGCTGTTTCTAATGCATCATGAATGTTTTTTTATTGTATTATTAATAAGGCTGTAGCTGCAGCACAACTAGCTCTAAACGGTGACGGATATCATCGCGTGACGCTCGACCAAGTTATCGAGACAATGCGTCAAACCGGGATTGATATGCAGAGTAAATATAAAGAGACAAGTCAAGGTGGATTGGCTGTTAATGTGCCGGTGTGCTGATTGAATTCTAAGTTGAAAAGTAGTCAAATCAAAATACTATTTATCGTCATCTATTTTTTTCTTAATCTAATACATAAATAGAACTGCATTTACATAAATTACAAGCAAAATAAATTAATGTGATAATTTTCAAAGAAAAATTTAATCGTATAAAATCTGACCAAAAGTATTTTAGTCACTCAAAACACATGATTCTCCTTTTTTTTAATGGCAATTCACGAATAATCCACCATTCGATCCCAAGTTACAATATCCATTCCACTATACACAAATCGACAAGCCTCCTCAACAAATTTCTCGGCCCATTGACCCAACAGTGGATGTAACAAACGGTAAACTTCATCCCATAATGGTGGTTGTAGTTTTTGTAGTCGTTTGGGTGGTTGTTGATACGGCATCACCAACAGTCCTTGCACATACTCTAATATGACATTATCGTACGTATCTGGCGGAATCAATGCCAATAAATCACGTTCTATAAAAGGGCGTAGACGATCTAAATCTCGTGGCTCGATTTTCATGGTGTCTATAGAGATGGATCCATTGTAAACTCGACCACGAGAATCTTTTGGCCTAAGATCTTGATCATATATGCGTCGTCGATTCTTTATCGCCGCTGTTGAAGAGGATAAATCTGAGGATGATAACAAGCTGTTACCGGCTCCACCCCATATTTTTGTTTGTTGTCGTTTATTATTAGATCGCTTGCCACTTTGACGATTTAATGGTTCCAAGGTATCTTGAAATCTTTCATCATCAACATCAACCATGAATTTTTTAAAACTATTATTGTTCTCGTCGATGCTATGAACTATAATCTCTACTCGTGTCTTACATAGCGGACACAAGACTGTTTTCGAGACTCTAAGCCATTCTTTGATACACGTGAAACAAAAAGTGTGATAGCAAGAAATTACGTAACTTGGATTTTGGAATTGGTGGAGACATATAGAGCAGCAATTTTGTGCAATAGAATCTTCCGTATCAGGTTCAACTTCTTTCTCTGTCTCTTCCTCGGTATCAACGTGATCAGAATTCGAACAGCTAGAGTCATCGTTGTCCTGTACAGAATTTTTCTCCCCTTCTTCCTCTTCTTCAAAACTTTTATAGAATGAATTTATACTACTACTTTCGTCTTGTTCTTGTTCTATCACGAACTTCGTGTTCACGTTCGTATTGTGCAGAAGAACAGAACTACCAATGTCATTCTTTGCCATGGTTTTTTTAAGATTTATGATTTACACACAAAGTTCAAACAAGTTGAAAATGTTACTTTATTTTGATTGTCAAGTCGATAAAATTAGTAATCAGTCGTTAATCTTTTATTTTATATAAATAGCAAAATTCTGTTATTATCACGATTTTTGTTGCTGTTCAGCCCATTGAGCCGGGGTATAAGTTTTCTAAGTATCAAATAACATATCGATATGAGCCAGCCGAGAAAGAAAAAACCTCTATCATCAACCATAACCATCATACCTGTGAAAAGGCATGTAACTGAGCAATCTCATCCTTTATGGCATCGTTCACCAATCGATGCCGTTGTAACAATGACTTCCCGTCAAATTGTGATGATACGATTATAACGTCAAAGCTTTGGCCACATCCTCCTACGACAAAAGGCAGTCTCATTTTTGAAAAATTGAATTATTTCCATCTTTTTTAGTTAAATTACATGTAATTACCAGATGTGTCTGTTGCATCAACGTGCTCAGCTTCAAGTTTTTCGCGGAGAGTTTTCTCGAGTGATTCCTTAGTTACAGACATTTTTTATATTTAACGTTAAGTAGGAAAAATTACGGTTGGGCTTTTATTCAATTAAATCGCATATAAAATTAGTAATGATCATCAGTATGTGCACACGCGAATATTTGAATCTGTGCTTGGTTCAAGATCACATGCACAACACATGGACGAGAAATACAAAATTATTGGTTTGTTATCATGTGATCATAAACCGAGCACAGATTCAAATATTCGCTGTGCACACACACATATATATACATCCCATCCTTATGATACAAATAACACAAACTAATCCACAATGAAAGTAAAAATTAAACGGTATTTGTTTTTTTTTTTTTAAATCTTTTGAAACATGTTAAACAGATACTGAACAAACAAAAAACATATAGTTGGCAAGCAGTAGCCGCCTGGCGCTGGGACGTCGACAATGAGGAAGTATGTGGGATTTGTCGTGTTCAGTTCGAAGCTTGTTGTCCAACCTGTAAAACTCCTGGCGATGATTGTCCACTAAGTATTTATAAATCTTTTAACGTCGATTATGCACAAAAATATAAATATTAATAATATATTATCGTTATGCACAGTGTGGGGTGAGTGCACACACGTGTTTCATATGCATTGTGTGTTGAAGTGGTGCGAGACTGAAGGCAGTCGCGGGTTATGTCCGATGGATCGTCGTCCGTGGGGTAAGTAATGATTGATTGATTGCTTGAGAATATCAATTGAAAATTCTTTTGTAAATTTTTAATGTTAATGAATTAATCCACTAAAAAAATTAGTTGTTGGAAGAGTTTAATAATAATGTATCTACAAAAAAAAAAGACTATCATGACCTCGTATATATTTGAAAATAGAATATCTATTTATTTATTTGCTCTAGAAATTCAACTCAAAAATTAATTATACCCGCTGGATTTGTTCTATAAAGAAAAAATTTACTTGCTATTTCGCATACACGCATGATCTCATAAGTATTTTATTCTAAATTAGCTGGAAAAAAAATAAAATTATTATATTAATACATTTTTATTTATTAATTAGCCAAAGATTCCTCATCCATCCACGTACTACCCAAGATATATATATTAAACCATGATTATAATGATAAATATAAAATTGTATTAAGCTCAAAATTATCCACTAGTGAAGCGGAGAGTGAAATTAGTAACAACCGCAGCTACGAATCAAAGAATAAATAAAAACCACAAAATTAAAACAATGAAATCGCAACGACGAAAAAAATGCATTATAACATTAAATTAAATAATAAACTCTACCAAGCAAGAAAATACATAAAACCGTGGGACCTAGTCGATCATCATATGGTGCTCTTTCACTCCTTCGTATTTTCTCGGCTCGCCAATGGTATATGACTAGTGCGTAAATCATGACAGCCATTGCTAAAAAGAACCATCAACAAAAAATTAATTCTCTAGCAAAATATTTTAAAAATGATAGAGCTGACATACTTGGAGTGTCACATTAACTCACCCACAAATGTAAATAAACCAGCAGATATTCTACCAACTCGATCGCCAAAATTCAAAAGTCCTATCGCGAGACCTCCAAGGACAACTGTGAATTGCAACCAGGAAAGAAATGTTCGTTCATTCGCAAAGAACACCTATTTATCGTAATCATTTTAAAAATATTAATGCCATCTTCCTCCTTCCTAAAATTTCCTCACACATCTATTTTCCCCTTCCCCCAATCTCCTATTTTTTTTTTTCACGACGTTACTAACTTTAGGTTCCACACGAACAGGAACCACGATGCGTCTTTGATGATCTTGAAGAAGTGGTTGAGCTTCAGACATAGTTTTTGATTCTTTTTATTTAAACGAAAAAAAAATATTTGTATCTCTCAATGATAGCTTTTATTTCTTTTTAGATAAATGTAATGCAAATATTAAACCAGGTCAAAAAATGGAGGGAAAGTTAAAAAAGCGAAAAATGACTGAGCATATTATTTATACACATTCACAACAAAAAAATCTAAAATTGGCGTATTTTTTCTAACGTGAGATAAATTGGGCGAGAAATGGGCTGGCTAAAAGTTGCATCTATGAAGGGAACGAGTAAAAAATAAGCATCATCATCAACATCAGTATTATTTGTTTTTATTATATAATGATAGGTGTGATCGGAAAATTAATAAGAAAGGGAAGGTTGATCTGTGTCTCTTTCAATTTATTATTGTTATGACGTCAATTCGGTTAATCAAATCATATTAATTTATTCACGGTTGATTGTCAAATACAACCAATTAAATTGGCGGTCTAACCGCTTGTAATACATCAGCCACCACGTCTCCCAAAGTCTGAGTGGCACCACCAGAAGTGACCTGACTTCGTAACTTTAACAGGGTATGCAAGCTAGTTCCATACATCGTACTTTTATCGTCACCAAGCTCCCGTATTATCAATCGATGCGAAAACACCTTTTCGCTGGCTATTAATACTAATTCGGGGGTGACAAAATTCTTTTGAAATACAACGGCTAAAGCCCTATTACCAAAATTCGGAAGGTTAAAATTTTCTTCTCGTTATACTAAATCAATATGAGGTGAGATTCTTACTTTACTAGAGTCACGAGATCGGATGCGGTGCGAGCCGTTATACCACCTTTTACTATACGATGTGTCCGCATCCCGATAACAACATCGCGAATGTATCTTTGCATATCATTATGAATGAATACTTTCTCCATCTTTTTGGAGAAATCCTCAATTTCCTGAGAACCAAAAAAAAAAATCCGAATAAATTACGTGTACAAAGTAAACCTTTCAACCAAATCACTATAAAGTTCATACATTATATCGAACAATGTTGTTTTTGCGATTCGATGACGAAACCGCTTTTCCACTTCCACTATTTCCTATTATCCCTTCATAGGTGTAACTAATAAAGAACCTATCAAGCTAAAGAAATTTGTATATTAATTTTCATTACTCCATACTTGAAACGATGCATAATAAAGAGATGATGTGTGTTTCCTACCAATTGACTTGGTAATTTATATCGTGTATTGGATAGAGGAAGCAATGCTATTACAATGAAGGGTCGTGGTAAATTATAAACCGTTGTACGATCAGTCACTTGTTTTTTTATTAACATCTATCAATGGGATAAAAACTGCACATCAGAACAAAGAACGTCACGATCTTAAATAACAGAATAAACATGAATAAGCACCTCCAACAAAAATGCATGTATCAATTCGTTCATTTCTAATCCCTCAACAATAGCTGCCTGTGCTAATTTCTTGGAGCCAGTAAAAGGAGAAGGTGGATCCTGTCCACTAGTGCTTATGCTCTCGTGTCTTTTTCGTGAGAACGTGAAATCCAACGGACTGACTGGGAATTGAGAGAACGGATGAAGATGAGGTGCCAAGTGATGCATATTTTTTCGCGGAAACGTTGACCCAGTGATTATGCTCAAATTAGGGCGCATCGCGTCTAACGGTGATGATGCAGAGGATGCGCTGGCTGCTGTCAATGAAGCTACAAGTGTATTTCTTCGTCGTGACTGATGATGATGTGTTTGTGATATCATCAGTTTATGAGAAGCTTCTTTGTCAATCTCCACTTTTTTTGTTCGTTCCACAAGATCAATTGCCTTGGTCTGTTCCTTTGACTATGCTCCATTCCATTAACAGATTAGATTTGATTCGAAAAGCAGCAGTAGCCCCAGAACCAACACAAAAAAACAACTGGTGACTATGAATAAAAATTGTTTGTCTACAAACACAAATCGTACCGTCACCATTTGAAATTCATCTCTTATAAAACTCTACCTTTTCGGGCGCCTCATTCCCTCCTCCTTTTCCACTGTTATAATCGACAACCAATATCGAAGACACCGGTTCATCATGTTCAATCCCCACAATGTCCTGAGGCTCCTCAACGACGCCACCTTCCGTGAAATCAGACGATAATGATTCTTTGGTGACGTGGGTAGAGGCATTGGAATATGTAGAAACGTATGAATAATTTGACCTACGTTTTGCGGTGACCTTTTTATCCTTTTTGCCGTTATTAATCGAGTCCGTAGAATATATTGTTCGAATTGATTTTAGAGATTTTTTGGATGTTACACGGCCGTTGTTGGTTGTAGTTGTTGACTCGTCTACTCCACCGACACTATCACCCACACTACTAGTTGGAAGATTTTCCTCTCTGGGTCGACTAAATAGGCAATTAGTGAAGTCTGCGGGGGTTTGCGTGGCATCGCAAGTAATAGTTGAACAAGACAGGTTAAAAACATGAAGGAATATCTAAAATCGTTGAATGACAAATGAGCGACCTTATTTATTACTTGGAAGTTTAAGTTTATACTCAGATTCAAAAGTAAAAAAAAAAAAAAAAAAAAAAAAAAAAACCTGTTCTGTCATTGTTCGTAAGTTTTCAAGTTCCTCCTGTCTACTCGTCAGAATCAAGTGTTTATCGCCTGACACCAGACAAAGTAAAATCGAAATGAAAACATCCTCAGAAAATGTAAAGTTTGCTGTTCGTTTTAAGCTTGCTAACTTCGATTTCAGCCAGTTTTTTGTTGTCGTGGAGTTCTGTTCAGAGACCATGTTTCATGTAGAAATGCTCCAACTCATAGAATAATGATATATTTGTAACACACAATAAAACGTGGCAGAATATATTTGTCTACAATGTAAAAATTCTAAAAAAAAATTTACGCGTCATATTAAAATTAATTTGAGCTAGTAATATATATCGATATTGATATGTCTAACTTTCTAAAAATGAGTTTCAAAGAACTTGTTTTATTTTTAAATCGCAACTCTTCCAGTAAATTTTTTCTAGCTCTATTTTCTGTGTGCATGCAAATCTTATTGACAATCTCTCACACTTTCCTTGCCGGCTTGGTTCTTAATTGGCTTGCCTCGTTTTATTACTGAACTTTTTTCTAAAGAATACACGTAGATTTTTCTCAATTCACGCAAAATTTATACTATTAATAAATAAATAGGTAAAATTTGATTTTCCGGGATATTATCTCGTGTGCATCCCATCGTTAATTCTTCCATCATTTTTCTTTTCGAATAAATCGATCGCTTTTAGGCAGAAAAAATGGATGTTATTGTGAGATGATTAACTTTGTACATGATAAGTTCAATACTTTTTCCTTTTGACACTCCACGCATTTCCAGGATGTTTTCTTTTTTTACGAAGGTTGGATCTTGACTTGTTACCATGGGCATCGGAACTATTATTAGAATTCGGTTTTTGGGCTTCCTTCATCGCGACAGACTAAATAAGAACAAGGTGAGTTAAGTAAACCACTTAAAAAGCTTCTTTTTTCTTCGACTAATAATAACCTCTAAAATATCACGGTACGAAAAAAGTAATTAATCGACCAATTTACCTGTTCATAAGTCACACTTTACAAAGATACATGTATTTGTATTATATGATAGTTAATGTAGAAGAGAAACTCAGAACGCAAAAAGAAAAATGAAATATCCTTTTTTTTTTTACTCACGAAGATCTTGAGAAGATTCGGTCCTCTTCTCTGACCTCGAATTTCTTCGGGTTGTGTTTATCCAGCGCACTTTTCGGTACTTTGCCAAAGAACCCACGTAGTAAGTTTCCCTTGCCGTTGTGAGTCTCTTTTAGATATGATCCTTCGAAATTGTATATCGAGAACTCAATTTCTGCCTATTCAATAATCAAAATAATGAACAAACAAACAAATTCACGAATAAATATACCACAAATTAACCGCGATTTAATCTTTTGAAGACAAGGCCAAAAATAATTGCCAAAAAGAGAAAAAACGAAGAATGCTCACCAAACTGAAGTCTGCCTTTTTCTTCTCTATTAGCAATTTATCGAGTTCAGCTTGTATCGCTTTCAATTTATTCAATTTATTAGAACCATTGGCAACAGCTTTCTATACGAAATATCGATTAGACACACATAAAAACGGTCAATGACACAATTTTTTTCTGGAAAACTATTAAAAAGTATGGTTCTCGCATATGACCCACCGGTAGTCCTACGGTAGCAGGTTGAGAAGTTTCTTGTGCTGGTGGTTTCGACGACGAGTCTGCAGGTTTCTTGGTATCTGCCATACTTCTGAACTTTATTTATTTACAGCGATAGATGGTTACTAAAATTAAAATAAGGTGTTGTCGATCCCGGAAAATTCTACTGTAATTGTTAAAGGCCGACTTTAAGAAAGGTGGGTACGGTACACAGGGTTAGAATGGTTACAGTGGCTAACATAATTATGGGATCACTTGAATGAAATTTTTTTTTAATGTAATAATTGTTAATTAAATTTTTAATTCGTTAAATCAAATTTAAAAATGCACGATTCCATAATTTAATAATTTAATCACAATAACAATTTTTATTTATTTAAAGGAAATAAAGGCTATCTAAATAATAATATTATAATTAAGAATTATTCATATTAATAAAGATATCGTAAAAATAAATTCAAAGGGTCCTTTTATAAAAGATTTTTGCGTGTGAATCACACTAATTGTTCCAACCACTACCTATTTCCATTATTACTGTCTATTGTGACTCCTATCCTCCAATGATTCTGATAGTCACTCACTATCAAGGACCGGAAAATTCGTTGTGATTTTGAAAAAATTACCGTTTTGATTTATATAATATTTAATTCTTATTATAATAAGTGCACGAAGGTGATTCTTGACTAAGATTTTGCCTATTATCCAAAATTTTTGTTATCACACTAAAACTATGTTCTACACTACATGATGAAATTGATATTGCACATTCTTGTAAATGGATTAATTAGCTCTAAAATATATTGATAAGTAATATTTTGTTGTGTTGTTCGTACATGATTATGATTTTCTTTTAGTTTTTTATGATTTGTTGTATTAATGGTTGTTTTATGTTCCCATTTAACGGAATGACTAAAAAACCGACATAATAAAATTCCATTATCATAACAAAAATCTTTAGAAAACTCTTGTGCACGAGTATATGCAGCTATTCGTTTTTGCTTAGGAGGCATTTTTCAACGTAATTTTTTGTTCATAAAATGGGATGGGGATATAGCTTTCTATACCGATTTATTCCGATTTATTTCGTTTTGTCTCAAAATTCCGGTTTATACCGATATCATGATATATGAATTTCTCCGTGTCCCTGCCCTACTATCTTTCATCGGCTTCGGGCGACAATGGCGAGACGCGCGTTATTATTGATGACCCGATCCGGGTATCGAAACCCATTTGCGGGATTCGAGCATAAAGCCCACCATTCGATTCCCTAGGTTCTGATGTCGAATGATGGGCTTTTGTGCTCGATTCTTACCATTGGGTCTCGAGATATTAAGCCCAAAGAGGACATACATGAAATTATTCATTGTGGAAATAACAAATCGCCATGACGATCGTAAACATCCGGCACTTCTTATCATGTGACAAAATCCATGATGGAAATTAAGGGAACCCTTGAAATATTACGATAATTTGCATTTATCCAAAAAATATGAATGTAAATGTTTCTTTTTTCGTGTTGTTTCAAATAATTCATAGTCCATTTATTATATTTTTGCGATTTTTGTCAGGAGAAACAAAAAAATAAACTCCCGGTATTCTGTTCGAGATTGTTTGAAGCAAAAGTAGAGAGAGGAATTACGTAATGTTCTTTACTTATGATGTCAAACAAACTGGATAATTAAATATGGTTATTGATCGATATCTTTTAAAAAAAAAAGATTTGCACAACTTGGCGAGAAAATTGGGAGAGATGAAGTATGGGTAGCTGCAGTATTTTATGGTCAGGTTTGTATCGATTTTTATATCCTAATCGTGTAAAAAAATTATATCTATTAATTTTTTTTACCAAAAAAAAAAAGGCGAAACCGAATCACGAAGAAATCACAAAACTGGCTGATGCGTTGGGGACAAATCTAAGTAATTTAAGTGATTTCAATGATAAGTCGTTTTTTCCTGATAAAGGAGGGTAAATTTATTATTTATTATTCTATTTATTTAACATCTTATCTTTTGTGTGTGTGTGTTTTTTTTTATAGTATAAAATAGTAAATCTTTTATTAATTTATAGACTTGTAGAGGTTCCGCCCACTGATCCGTTGATTTACCGATTTTATGAGATAATTCAGGTAATTCGAGTTTGCAATTGAATTCGATAAATAATTTGCAATTGAATTCGATAAATAATTTGCAATTGAATTCGATAAATAAATAATTTGGTACGAATAATTTTTTAGGTTTATGGGTATCCGTTAAAAGCTGTAATTCATGAGAAGGTAAATAATCATAAAGATTGATAAAAAATGAAATGCAAGAAATTTAAAATATTTGCTTTCTTAGTTTGGAGATGGCATAATGTCAGCTATTGATTTCACCGCACGAGTTGATAAGGTATTAGTTGACTTTTTTTCTTTTATTTTTTTTTAAACAAACTAAATTAAACTGAATTCGAATCTAAAGGTTGTAAAAGACGGTGGCGAGAGAGTCAAAGTCACATTTGAAGGGAAATTTTTGCCATATAAAAAATGGTGAAAAGATAATACTGATTGTGTATTATTATCGAAGAACTTGATTTGCCAAATTATTTCTCTGGTAAAACATCGAGGCATGCCATGCATAATTTTTTAATCTTGTATTAATGTGAATTTATTAAAAATAAAATCAATTTTTAAAACAAACAACTAATTTATTATTATTATTATTATGAAAGATATAATACATATAATTATTAATACATTAACTAATTAAATAAATCGGCACCAAAAAAGCAACTAGAACAGCACGGGATCCTTGTATATTTTCGCGTATCGCCCCAACGCCCATACAGTGAAAATATGCTTATAATTCGGGTAACTGATCATACAGTTTTTGTTGAACACCCCCTCAATGCCTTCTTGTTTCCATTCACCGTGAGGCAGTTGGCGTGACATTATAAACTACAAGTAAAAGATGCGTATTGTAAATATAAAGAATCCCAAATCGTGAATTATTCAAACCAACACATGCTAATCTACACTATTAACATTATAATGAATTAATTATTCTTATCTATATAACTCACCTTAATACCTTTTCGAATAGCTTTCTCATCAGGATATTGAGCTGACATTAACGCGAGCACTGCCCATGATGTATTGACTACTTGTGATTCGGCGTGTTGCACATATTCGCCTTTCTCACACGACTAATATTATTATTCATAAAGACCGGATTAATTTTTTGTAAATAACTAATTTTCTTAAACGAAATGAATAAAAGATAAATACTTTGTAAGATTCGCCCCAGCCGCCATCTTCACGTTGTTTCGAAATTAGGAAATCACATCCTTTCCTGGATGATGTGCTATTCATTATGATCACAAAAAATAAGCATTCATCAATAACAAATAAAAAGATCAATAACTAAACTATTAAACATACCTGTTTACATAATGCTCGCCAAAATTCGCCAGACTTTCTAACGCGAACAATGCAGCATACGTGTAACAAATAGCCCAGCAACCATACCATCCACCGTCTTCTTGTTGACTATCATGAATGTACTTTGCGGCCTTGTTGCAAACCTCACTTTATATGCACAAGAGTTGTCATTATTATAAAATGTTCAGATGAATTAATATTTGACTAGTTAAAAAAGCAATAAACGGGGATAAGAAAGCTAGTATCACCTAATTTCATCAGAACGGTAATCAGGATAATATTTACGGAACGTACACAGTCCAGTCAACACAGCTGTCGTACACTCAGGATAACTATACTCGATCATAATATTCCCAAATACTTCCCCAGGATTGATCAGTTCAAGCAACCGCGGCCCGCGTATCAATTCGTAACTCGCGAATCCGCCATCACTGTTTTGCATTGATAGAAGCACGTCTACAGCTTGACGAAGACGTTCTTCAGAGACAAGTTTGGGTGTGTATCTATCCTCACACACGCATAATTCATTACAAATGAGAACACTTAATGACTTGAAAGTGGAATTGTTTGTTTGCTTGCTTACTTTAGTTTATTCTGTAAAAAAATCACAGCCTTGAGTCCTTCAGCAGTACAATCTGAAACTGTGTACCCTTGATCTCGTGTACTAAAAGGCCAGGCACCTTTCGATGCGTGCCTGTAACATGTTTCCATATTTGGAACGTTTCGTTTGATTTGACAATCATCCAGAAATTCAAGAGCCCTCAACATTGACTCATGATTTGATGGTTCACTAGCAAGTCCTAATATTCCGAGAAGACATTATCAAATGTAACATTGAAGCTTGTACATTAATAATAAACAAGTATATGCACTTTTTTATTACCCGATTCTATAACAGCTTGGACAGTGAACACGGTATCCCATAATTGGCTTCCATTAGTCCCATTCATCATCATCCCTTCAGCACCCATCCTAGATATGAAATGTTAAACTTTCTCATCCGTTATATTCAAAAAATATTTAATTCACCTACCACATAAAATCAATGAGTTTTGACCGAGAAAATCTAAATGCTTCGGAATTAGGTCCTTCTTCGAGATACACAACTATCAAATTCATCGCTTTGTTGACCTTTAATGGTTTATCAAAAAAATTAGATTAATTCTCAAATTCACATGCAGAAAAATCCTTTGGTAAATAAAATAAATATACAAGACGAGTATTAATTATTGATATAAACATACGGGACCCAAATCAAGATAAAATGTATTCTCATCTTCGTATTTCACTTGCTTATATACTTCATTAAGTGCATACTTCCGCAAATCAACCAAATTTTGAAATTTTTCATAGAGGCCAATTATTCCTATCAAATTTTTAATTAAAGAGAAATTTCTTTCAAGCCAAACCAGCAATATCAATAAACAGTTTAATTATTATAGTCATACTCACCATTAAGAAAATCAAGCAGTCCAGTATGTGGCACATACAAATCAACTTCACACACATTGTTTCGTGCGTTTGCCCAATTAATCGATTCATATGGTTGCACATATAATTCTTGACGTAGTTGTTTGATGAGCGGGCATAAGTCGGCACTTGCTCGTTTGCCGTAAATGTAGCTCATTGGAAGATAAACCATACGCGTGTGGCACCAGAATCGGCCCGGATGAAAAGGCAGAGAATATGGCAATAGCCTAAATTTATATGATATTCATAACATAATTAAAGCAAGATCCATTGAATTGTTGCTAATAATTTTGATAGTTGTGTACCATAATTCTGGAATTATCGGATTCATGCCTTCCCAGTCGTAGACGTTCAACACGGCCAACCAGAATTTTCCCCATGAAGGAGACCCAATTGCACCTCCTATATGAAACCAAACAAATTATTCTTTTACCATTTATTATTATTATTATTATTATTATTATTATTATTATACGGGCAGGTCAAGAGTTATTTGCACTTACCTAATTTATGAAGCGTAGCTCTACTTTTCACCATTGCAGGGTGATCCGCGTCCACACCCAAAATACGAAGTGTGACATAGTTCAACGCAGTCCCAAAAACAGTTGAAGGCCCCTCTATGTGGCTATATATACACATGTCAAATAAACAAATCACGTAAATTCAATACATAAATTTAATAATCATATAAAAAAACCTTACATTCCCCAACCACCGTCGTCCTTATGCGCCCGATTAAACAAATAACGTATAATTTCAACGCGCCATGTCTTTGGGATTGGCGTGTGCGTGACATACATTGCAATAATGAGCCCGGGTAACAGAAACATTGGACCACCGTATTCACCGGCCCAGTGGCCGTCCTCGGTTTGTAGTAATTTGAAAAATTCGAAACCGTTACGCGCTGCTTCGAGGGCGGTTTTGGGAGTATTGAGTTGTTTCGTTGGCTAATTTAATTATGATATACAAAATGTCAATAATGAAAAACTTTCGAAATATGGATTATATGAATGATAGGTGTTTTATTTACAAAGGGAATCCCGAGCCAATATTTATCACATATAGACTGAGGCCATTTCTTTAGTTCATCGTCGTGTTCAAGGTAATGCCACGTTTGTCGACCGTGTTCTACTTTGAGTCGCCAGCGGAGAGGATCTGTGCTTTGAAATTTTTCGGGGGATTGTACGTCCACGAAAACATCTGTATTTGGTGGCATGTTTTAAGAGAAAATCGGGAACCTGACATTTTAAAATTTTGCGCGTTACTTTTAATCATGAATCCCATGTGCAATTAATTAAACAAAATTGTCCTAAATAAGAAATGAAAAACTTGATCGACAGTAATTGTTGTATCATCATCTTTAATACACGAAAAAAGTATAAATAATGTCAAGTCAGCAACAACGAAAAAGACTAGAACGAACAGCGATCACCAAACAACGACCTGAAGAGTCTCCAGCAGTACAGTGGTTTGACTGGCTGGGCCAGTTCCAGATACGGAAATATGCTAGTTTGCTAACCTTGCTTTTTTGCCTTTATGTGCGTTGGACAGTTGGACTTAACAAGTATTCTGGTGTGTGTTTTTTATGTGCGTTGTCTCCTTAGATAGATTTGATCCATTACTGTTAGATAAGATTGTTAAATTTAACGAAATGCGAAATTAATTAATTAATTAATTCAAATTGAAATAAAAAAACAAAGGTTTTGATGCACCTCCAATGTATGGAGACTACGAGGCACAACGCCACTGGATGGAACTCACGCTCCATATCCCCATAAAACAATGGTATTACTATGATCTCGATTGGTGGGGACTTGATTATCCGCCATTAACGGCATACGTGAGCTGGATTTGTGGTAAAATGTATTTATTTGAATCGAATCAGTCTCCGAATTAATTTTAACAAATTTCGTACAAATAAAATAATAATGTTTATTTGAAAAAATTGACATTGGTTTACTCGCTCCCCCATAAAACCAACCAATTAAATAATTTAGTGGCTCTTTTTTTAATCCTGATTGGTTTGCATTGGATGTCTCGCGAGGCTATGAAAGCTTAGAGAGTAAAATGTTTATGCGGTCTACCGTGGTTTTTTTTGAGTATGTGATTTATGTGCCTGGAATTTTTGTGTTTGTGAATTGGTGGTTCAATGACGCGTCAAGGAAAAAGAAGGTGAGGTTTCTGTATCTGTTGCATAAAGATGCACTTTTTAGGTATTTGGTTTTGATTTATCTCATATCTGTATGTATAGGATCTAGCTACGCTACTAATTCTTCTTCAACCCGCATTGATATTGATCGATCATGGTCATTTTCAGTAAGCATCTTAATTTTTTTCCATTTTTTAATTTTTAGCTTTTATATTTTTATATAATAATTTTGCATTTATCGCTTGAAAAAAAAACTGTAGATACAATTCTGTTATGCTCGGACTCTCAATTTGGGCAATCGATTGTTTTTTGTACGATTACGATGTGTTAGGCAGCATCTTTTTTTGCCTCGCTTTGACGTTCAAGCAAATGTCATTGTATTATGCGCCTGCCATCTTCGCTTATTTGTTGGGAAAATGCTTTAAAGGAGAGCATGGGTAAGTTTTTTTGCGCGTGTGTATGTGTGAGCGTAATGAGATTCAAAATGTTATTGATTTACTTATTATTTTATGTTTAAGCTTTAAACTCGTTCAACTTTTTTTTTACAATCGGAAACATTATCTTTTCTTATATATAGATTTTTGCTTTTTATAAAACTTGGATTAACAGTTCTTGTAACTTTCGGCGTAATATTTATGCCGTTCCTAGATTCAATTGACCATATCAGTCAAGTGATCACGCGTGTGTTTCCCTTGCAACGTGGACTATATGAAGATAAAGTGGCGAATGCGTGGTGCGCGATGAATGTTATTGTCAAATTGAGAGAAATTTTTGAGATTCAGACGTTGACGAAAATTAGGTATCGATTCTTACTATGATCATATGATCACACATATTTATTCTTGTATTTAACTATTATTCTTGTATTTAACTTAATTTCTTGTTTTAAATTAGTTTGATCACTACTCTATTATCAATCATCCCCTCCTGCATCAGACTTGGTATAACACCCGACAAACGTTCACTTGTTTACGGGATCGCAAATTCATCGTTGGCGTTCTTTATGTTCTCTTTTCAGGTTCACGAAAAATCTATATTGTTACCTGCTCTTCCGATTACTCTATTATTACTGGATGAGGGCTTTTGGAGCTCGTGGTTTATCAATGTTGCGGTGTTTAGGTATGCGTTTCCGGTTGCTTTTGATTGCAAGCATTAACCTTTGAGTCCGAAAAAATATTTTATATACAATGGGCTTAAAAAAATCCATAGCCTGTTCCCACTTTTGAAAAAGGAAGATCTAGCGTTACCCTATTTTGTCGTGTGGCTCTTGTGGAACTGGGTCGGCGGATTTTTGAGTCATTCCGATATTGATGACCATGACAATAATCAACCTTTACTTTTGCGATTATTCTTTTGGGTAAGTTTTATTATGTCTTGGTTCCTTTATTCCTTCCGCGTTTATGTACCATACATAAACTTACCATTTTCATTATAGGTATCCCACTTAACCATGGTTTTTCTCCATATAGCAGAATTCAACATTTCACCACCAAAGCAATACCCTGATCTCTACGTAGTATTAAATGTGATATTTTGTTCTTTTATGTTTTTCCTGTTCTTGCTTTACTTCAATTACCGACAATTTGTGTTATCACATTACAATAATCGGCGAGAATCGGATAATAAGAATAAAATTGAATAATCTAATAAATGTCTTACATAATCAAATCTTGAACCCAAATCTATGCAATGGGACTTACACGCATTGCATCTCGATCTCGATAGATGTTTCTGTATCATCAAAACAAACAGAGATTATCAAAAAAGATTTAAGTTCGGACTTTCGGCCATGGCATTATTTATTCTGGTGGCAATTTTTTCTCCTAATGCCTTATTTAATACGAACCCACGCAAGAAGTACAATAACGATAAGACCAATAATATCAAACTTGGCAAATCAGAAACCACTAACGACAATAATACAGAAAGCGACACCCACAATAATACCACGCGCCTCTTTACACAGTTCGCGTGTGTATAATAGGGTCACAGCTAGTTCAACAGGTAAAGAACACCTCGTACCTACAACGGGCACATACCCAAGAGGGTTCAAAGCAACTGGTCTTCACTGCGGTGTAAAAAAGAACGGCAAGAAGGACCTTGCGCTAATATTCTCGGAAGCACCATGTACAGCCGCCGCGGTATTCACCACCAATGTATTTAAAGCAGCCCCAGTTCTAGTATCTCGTGAAATCCTAGAAAAGAATCCTGCTAACGTTAGAGCGTTAATAGTAAACTCTGGGTGCGCGAACGCGGTAACGGGCACAAAAGGTTTAGAAAACGCACGAAAAGTCTCGGATGTTGTGTCGTCATTGTCTGGGACACCGGACAGCGCACTTTTAATGTCAACCGGCGTCATTGGTCAACATATTCCCGTTGAAAAGATTATCGACGGTGCGCGAGTCGCGTTTCATGAGTTGGGTGAATCGCATAAAAGTTGGCTGGCAACCGCCGAAGCGATAATGACCACTGACACGTTTCCGAAACTACGTTCGCGAGAATTCAGAATACCTTCCAGTGGTTTGACGTATCGTATGGCCGGGATGTCGAAAGGCGCCGGGATGATACATCCGAATATGGCAACGTTGCTGGCCACCGTGTTGACGGATGCGCCTGTTACAGAAAATGTGCTGAGTAGTGCGTTGAAGTATGCCGTGGATAGATCGTTCAATGCGATAAGTGTTGATGGCGATATGAGCACGAATGACACTTTTGCTGTGTTGGCTAATGGAGCAGCTGCAGATCTAAGCAAAAAGGGTGGTGTCATTATCGATAACTTGGACAGTAAAGACTTTGTACAGTTTCGAGATGATCTTACTGATTTTGCAGCTGAATTGGCTCAGTTAATTGTACGAGATGGTGAAGGCGCGACAAAATTCGTGACAATACATGTCAAGGTATACTATATTTCTAATTCAATGTTCTTATGATTATTCATTACTCGTGCTTTAATTAGAATAAAATAAAAAAAAGGGCGCACAATCATTCAACGACGCCAAACAAGTTGCATCGACAATCGCCACATCCGCACTCGTAAAAACTGCCTTATTCGGCCAAGATGCCAATTGGGGACGCATACTCTGTGCAGTCGGCTATTCGGGCGTAAAATCGATCAATCCATCAAGTGTCTCCGTGTCATTCATCCCAACCGACGGTACAACACCTCTGAATCTTCTCGTCAATGGTGAACCAGAACTCGTTGACGAAAAACGCGCCAGTGAAATTCTGGCGATGGAAGACTTGGAAATTGGTGTTGATCTTGGGGGAGGTGATCACTCGGCCAAAATGTGGACTTGTGATTTTAGTCATGAGTATGTGACTATTAATGCTGATTATCGAACCTGAGCTTTAGTTTTTCAATGTAATTTTAAGTGTGAATTGTTTCATTATTATTGTAAATTTATAAGAGCAGAGCGCATAGATAGATAATTATATATCAACAGATAGTTTTAAATTCTAGGTTGAACATTAATTTGATTAAAATAAAAACAAATTAACAAGGGAAACCACATGAACTAGTTTTAATTTTATCTTATGGATGATAAACTACATAATGATAAAAACCATTAATCTCTGGTTCATCAAATCCAAACCAGATCTCTAACGTTTGCTATTTTTTTAAGTCTATCTACTGGCAAAGTTGATTGAATGTTTTTAGTGTGGTCGAAATCGAATGTAAAAAAAGTGATCATGTTATTAATAATTAAAAATTAATTAGTATTCATTAATAATAATTGTCACACTTCTCACTTCCTTCACTAAACTACGCCTTTAACTCATCAGCCATATTCAATTTCTGAATCAACTGCGTAACCTCCTCCGGTGAAGTAACGTGCCACTGCGCCAACGTTTTCTTATTCGCCGACCCAATCGTAATACAGAAGTAAGCATCTTCGTCAAGTTCGGAGTTACGCAATACGCGAAACATGTCTTCATCGGTTTTATCGTCGCCCGCGCAAATTATAAAATCCACGTCAGGCATGGTGACTAGCATCCGTTTGACGATTTCACCCTGGTGTTAAGAACGATGATGGGTTTGAGATTGAGTATAAAGTTAGTTTCGAGACTGAGGCGCATTAAATCTAAAAAAAAAACCACTTGTGAAATGATAGAGTATTGTTATTACAAAAACAACAGACCTTGTTCACAATAGTCGGTCGCACTTCCAAGGTCTTTTTGCCTAACAAGATCTCAACGGGCCGTTTCGGCAGCAAAGCACCTTCAAGATGATTTTGCATTTCTTTTGCTTGAAACGCTCTAAATTGATAATATCATTAAATAAGCATATACGCTCTCACAAACACACAAAATGTATATCATAAAATAACAAAACAATTAATAAACTTAAAAAATATACCCATAGACAGGATCAGCCAATCGATAATGCCACGTTATCGAACACTGTTTATACTCGATAAACGAGCCCTGTGTCCGCTCACTGTAATACCTAAAGACCTCACTCACATCGTTTTTCCAGTTCATGTCGATATCTTCGGTGAGATTTATCCATTTGCCGGTGTCCGGGTATTTTAGGAAGCTACCATGTTCCGCGCTGGAATTGGTTATGAACCACAATAATAAAAATTATAAGCTTAGTGAGATCATAAACCTATTTGTACGTAGTGTCATGAATCAGACCCTTGAAAAATTTAAATGATATAGCTACCTTAATCCAAGTTTGGGTATATCACCAAGCCATTGATCTAAATCATTCTGATCACGACCAGAAATCACCCACACATTATTACAAGGATTCGAAGAAAGCGTCTTCAACACCTCAATCACTTGAGGTGAGGGAACTGCTGCATTTGGTGTCCTTACTATTGGAGTAAGTGTACCCTGTATGTCGTATGCGATCAACAAATACATTTTAATATAATAATAACACGGACCTTACAAAAATATCATTATTTACTTAGTTGTAACTTACATCATAGTCAAGCATTATTAATCGCTGTTTCGACCTCTTGTATTGATTTAATAAGAAATCTATTTTTAGATATGGCGTCGTGAACGATTGGACTTGGTTTACGAGGTTTGCGCGGAGTTCTTTGATGAAGGATTTTGCCCAATATTGTGCTGTGTGTACTGTTACATGATGATAGAGTTGCTATACGTGAATTTTTATAAGTTAATGTTAAATTTTCAAAAAATCGAAATTACTTAACATATCAAAAAACAAATAACCAAAAAATCTCACCAAATGTTTAACCAATTTCTCCTCTCTTGACATCTCCAACGCCTCATTTATTGCCTTCGCAACGCCCGCATAATCCCATGGATTGACCATGATCGCCGAACTAAGCGACCCCGCCATCCCGGTAAACTCGCTCAAAATCAATGGTCCATGATTCTCCTGCTGACACATAATATATTCCAACGACGTAGTGTTCATCCCGTCACGTACCGACGTAATCAATCCGATATCCGCCACGCTCAACAACGCAAAGTACTCGTCTTGATCAACATTCTGATTGTGGTAGTGGTGTACCGGGTTGAACTCCAGTGTTCCATAGGTGCCGTTTATGTGCGCAACTAGTTCAGAGACTTTCCGTTCGAGTTTTGGAGATTCGGTGAGTGCTGGTGAGGTAACTTGAATTAAGACTACCTAATGCGCAATAATAGGCGGTGTATGTACACAATAGTTAATTTTTGATTTTTTTGGAATATAATGCTTCGGCGTTTTTTTTTAAAAGGAAAAAAAAACACAGAAAAATATGGATACCTTGTTTTTCCATTGTGGATAATCACATAAAAATTTTTCAAAAGCTTGCAGTTTCTGCATGACACCTTTCACCAAGTCAAGTTTATCACGTCCTACAATAATTTTTTTGCCAGCGTACATTTCTTTGATGGAAGCCATTTTTACTGCTACGCCTGGATCTTTTCTGTTTTCCGAAGAGAGAATGATGAAGAACGAAGGTCAGTTAATTAATGAGCTAAAATGGACCCCACGAAGGTTAAAAACGACTAATAAAATCATACCGTTGCTCTTCGGTTTTCTCGGCATCAATGCCAATCGGGAATGTGCCGAGCGAGACCACAAGATTAGGCGTATCAACGCCTTTGGGTGTTGTTTCGTAGCCTAGGACACGCGTGCAGCTACTGGTGAAGTGGCTAGCATATGAATATGTCTATTGGGTATAATGTATAATTTTATTTTTAGTCAATGAAATTTGAGCTTGAAAAGAATATTCGTATGTTGTCTTCTTTTCTATAAGATTTTATAAAATCACAAGCAACAATAATAAAAATACTTAACCTGAAACCCAATTTGATTCGCACCCAACATGCCATGTAGAATTTCCTTTCGTTCTTTTTGTTTAAAAATTTCACAAATAAATAAATTGAACGAATGAAAATCTCTTAAAAAGATCTGGATCAATGCGACGAGGCGACTCACTTGGCAAACATCTAAAGATTTCAGAACTAGGAAATGGCGCGTGAATGAACAAACCAATTGGTGCGTCAGGAATTCGTTGGCGAAGCATTTCGGGGACTAGCAATAGATGGTAGTCATGGATCCATACTAATGGATTATAATTGAGCAATTCGTTAGCCATAAATAAAATGAAAATTATAACACAAAAATGATACGGGGTATATTTCGTACCTATATCTCCCGGTTGATAAATCTCAACGATTTTGTCAACGAATCGCGAATTCACTTTTACATATTGATCCCAATTTTTGCGCTCTTCTCGACCATCAGTGACCACATCCCATAACATGTAGTGAAACAGCGGCCATAAAACTAAGAGTATTTTACAAGAACTTTGATCAGTTTTTTTTCACATTCTCACTAAACAATTCGGAAAGAAACTATTAAATAAAGAATACGGAATATACCAGTTTTGCAATACCCTTCATAATGACCGTGATGTTCCTCATCGTCCAAAAATACGGGAATGACTTTCTCCTTAGCCAACAACGTTTGCAAACTTTTCTTATGCTGATCAGTGAACTGTGTTTGGTCAAGTAGGTTTCCGTTCTCTTCTTCGTCATAGTAAATTTCCCCAGCGAATCCGACCAAGAAGTTTTCGCATTCCGCGCTTAACGACCGTATACCGGCATAGAGGGCTGAATGACCGCGTCGTGGTTTCAAGTTCCAAACTATTGCATCATCAGTTTGATGTTTTTGGGACTGGGACTGTTGGTCAGTTTGAGACTCTTTTGTTTGTATACACGCCACATACGGTATCATATGTGTCACACTGATTATCCGCTTGTGTTCGAACTGAGAGAATACATTAGAGCTTCGTCGACGTCCGCCGCCAGTTATGCCATTTGGCTGTGTGCTGGCAACCATTTTTTTTTTTAATTTGATGTGTATTTATTTTTTATTATCAACGCTATTTGCTATGTTATGTTATGGGGAAGTCATACGATACAAGTTTGGAAGGAAGGCAGAGTAGGGAGAAGTAGAGAAATGAGTAGCAGCACCGAGAAAAGAATTTGTATTCTATTTATATCTACTCTAAAAAAATAACGGTCCACTTTGTATTTCGGGTTGATTGAAAATCTGTACTTGAACTTCATTCATTCTTATCAAAATCGAATCATTTAGGCATATGTTGTTATACATAGCGATAAAGTATTATTTTTATTTAGAGTTGTGTGTCAAAAAACAAGTTTTACCAAATCAAGTATTCTCATAAATAGCTAATTAAATGGTCCTTAAAAAAGTTGCTTTTTTTCGAGTGCACGATCCAGTCCCCACCAAAAACTGATGTAATGATGACTAACGATAATTGGCACCGCTTTATAGATTATTGAGATAAGCATTGCCTTGTGATTTTTACTATTCAAAAATCCCAAGGTTTACTAATATATCGGAGGAGGTCTACTACAAAGAGTGTGCCTGTGTATTTTATTCTATCAAATAAAATTTTCGTTTTTTATTTTTATTCACGTGTCATTCGATATGAACTTAGGAAATCAATTTTCTTTGATAAATTAAGCTGATCAAGTACGATATTCATCATATGAATTCATTAATTTTTTTGCATGAGTGTCATCTAATATAATTAATTATATAGTTGAAATAAAAAAAAATAAATGATGAAAATCTAAGATGATGAGGGAGAATGTCGTGCCATGTAATCTAAATGCTTAAAAACCATTGGATTCTGGAAAATTGATTTTGCTTTTTCTTCTTGATCAAGAGGGAAACTATCATTATTTGAGAAACTCTGATACTTTTCTTGCAGTTGTTGTTGTTGGTTATATGGTTTCAAATTATCAATGTCATTATTATTAGTATCATCATTTTTAATTGCCAGCTGATTTGTTATCCATTCAAGTAAATCATTGTATTCTCTTTTTTTATTCTCTTCTAACAACGAAGAATCGTTCTTATGTTGTTTCATCATCACCTTTTCCAATAACCATTGCATTTCGTTCATTTGTTGTTTCCGCCAAGCCAAATACGCAAACTCTTTTAACGTTTCAATGTCTACAAATGCAATATCCTGTGCTTGTTGGTGCTCGTAATGTGCGACATATGATGTTAAGAGCTGGCGCGCAATTGAAAAATTTCCGCATCTTATTGCTATTTGTGTGTAAAGGTTGATGATTTGTGTGTCTTTGGTGTAAAGTGGGGAAGATGGAAATTTGATTAAGGGAAGTCTTAAATTTAGATTTGGATTTTTCGAAGAGAATGGGGATGTTGTTGATGATGATGATGATGATGAAGATGACAATGAGGTGGTAGTTGGAGACGCTGACGATGGTGATTGCGAATTGAAAAACTCTGGAGATAAATTTCTGGATGTGGTTCCCATATCAATTCCAACGCGTTTTTCAGAGTCAAACAAGAACCTTTTATTGCGTTCACGCCAATCCACATAAGCTTCAAATGTGTGTTTTGCACTTTTCAGATCAAGGTGTGTATCATTATAGTAATACATTAGTGTTCTCCATAATGGAAAACAGAGCATTCCATCGTTTCTTAGTAATTGTGAAACAAGTAGTTTTCCTTGTGGAGCTAATTCTGGATTATGCAAATAAGCATTGACGATTGGAACATACCATTTTGATTGAACGCGTGGATTATGTGTTTTATCAATTATTCTTTGCATAATCTGGGTAATTTCAGTGATATTATAAGTATCGTTGATACGCACACAACACTGTAACATTGCTGTATAGATCTCAAGTGTTGGTATAACGGGTGGCACTTCTCTCGACATTTGATTTCGAACCACATTTATGGCATACTGTGCTTCACTGTAGTCTACGGCTGCCGCATAAAACACTGTCTCGTATAATTTTTCATGTCTTCGAATCCCACTTGTTGCTAAATCACTCCACCGTTTCCACATGGTCTTAAAAAGACCGGCCGAACTTAATTGTTCCAATAATGTGCTAATCAACTCATAATCAATAGGTAATTTCGAATCATCAATCATTTTCTCAATTTCAAAAATTCTCGGAATTGGTTTTTGCGGTTTCTTCCAAACGATATCATTCTCGGTGCCGACAAGTGGACCCCACGAATCGATATACTTGGAAGTTTTACGCTCAAAAGGTGGTAGACACGCTTGCAGCAACGGACGAAAAGTTTCTAACTTATCAACCTCATAACCATATGATTTCATCATCTCGAATACTTCCAACGCGTATTCGATACGCAGTTTTTGGTTTTGGTCCTGCACGTTGTGACTAGAGAATTCGGGCGAGTTTGCAAATCCTTCGAGCACAATTTTGAATGTGTTAAATTCGGGCTGTAAGACTTCTTTTTCGCGCATGTTTTTTAACGTTTCCATGGCTGTTTTCATTGGAAATGACTTATGGTTCAAGAGATTGGCAAAAACTTGAAACTGTATAATCAAGTCGATATTCTCACGATCGCTCTTTTCCAAAGTGGACAACTTAGCCAAGAGTTCTTTCCACGATTTGTAGAACTGACTATCAATCAAACTTTCACCTTTAGCCGCCGGATCATCCGGATCCGTACTAAAACGGCTGACTACACGTTTATCCTTGTCCGGGTTCATGTGCAGTGTGACTTCATTCGCGAGTGCTTGCAAATAAGCGCGCATCATAATCTTAATCTTACTCAACTCAACCCATTTCTTTTTGAGAGCCCAGTCATTTACCCACAAATGCATCATGGAAAGTAATTCTTTTGTGCGGTTCACGTTGCCTTTATTTGCGCAGAAAGACGATAACGCGTAAATTGGTTCTTTTGAACTCAATGGTCTCGGACCAAACTTTGATATCGCTTGACTGATGTATCTTAAGGCTTCCCTTACTAGTCCTTTACGCGCTAATGCCCAAATTATTTCTGTCCCGATTTCGGGGTTAATAGGAATATCAGTGCGAACCAACTGCAAAAAATCAACAAATTCAGGGCCACCCCGTTGATATGCACCCATACCCTAAAATTTACAATAAATTGACTGTTGTTACCACATACTTCAACACAAAAAAAAAGTAATAAAAGTACATTACTGTAATTGGTGTCTCACCCGAATTATTACTCGCCACGTTTCAGTGCTAAAAGGTTTCGGCGTAGTCTCTAAAAATTGTCTTGTAATCTCTTCAACTTCTTTAAAATCCGGTATTTTTTCCCTAGTAGAAAACGGCGACAAAACCGCCCAAAACGAATATAATTTCTTTGAAGAAGTCAACGCTCTCAAAATATACTGCCACAATTCCGTATCACACACAACATGCGATATTGGCAAATCACGAATCGCGGTGTCCGAGGTATCCCGTTCTTTGTTCAAAAAAGGAACACGACGATTGATCAACGCTTTTGCGATGTAAAGTGAGAGATAGTAATCTTTGGAATTGAATACTGCCTCTAATAGTATTTTATACGTTTCTTTCGTGGGTGCGACTGGAATTCCGTCGCTTTCCCAGGAAGTGTACATTTGTTTGATTATGAATAACGCGATATCTAGGTTCGCTGCGTTAACACATGATTGTAAAAGTGTGTTGTAGAATTGATATGATTGAATTGATTTGTCGTTTTTCATCTTGATGAATTCTATGGCTAGCTTAGATTTTTGGGAACGAGCAATGAGTGTTTTCATGCGTGTCACATAATAGACTTGTTTATCTTGAGGCGTTTTTTCGGGGTCATTGTCGATGAAAACAGGCCTTGAAGTTTTACTGCCATAAGTTCCTATTTCAAGTGACGAAGACGAAGACGAAGAATGTGACAATGCTAAATTCGAAAAATATGCGAATGATGTTAAAAATTCTGCTCAAAAAGAATTATTTCATGCAATTTAGACGTAATTTGAATTCGAATCAAGGCAACAAAGTAATTTTTGCTTTTTGTCGTAATGCAGATTATTGACTGATTTAATTTCCTATTCATATTCAAGTATATTAATTACTTGTTAACTATAACTGTGTGTGCGCGCGGCAACGACGTACAAATGGTGTTTGTTTGAAAGCCACGACTCGAGACATTTTGATATGGAATTTTGGAGGTGGAAAGAACTTGCTCTTTATTGTTGTTACTAAAGATGGTGCAGCTTTTAAGATAAATTCTTATATAGAGACACTTGTAGTTGTGTTTTTGAATAGTAGAAAGGGGAGACGACGACGAAGAGACAGATAAAAGACAGCTACGCGGAGTGTGTGTGAAAAGACGGGGATACATGGCTAAATTTCTGAAGAATTTTGCTTAGCCAATCATTTATTATTTTTTTTATTATGAGTCATAATGAAAAGAAAGTATATAATAATAAATATGAATTAAAAGATTATAAATTCAATTATTATTTTTAGAATATGATTAAATTTTTATAATCTTATATTTTTTATAGTATTATTATTCTTAATTGAATAAATAAATAATAAATTAAATATGATATGAACTATTGCAAAAAAGATTGATATATTAATTAATAATTACTTCTATTCAAATTTTAACTGATCTTTATAATTTTTTTATATTAAATAAAAAATGATCTAAATTCATTTTTTATATTATTTTAATTATTCTATTATACTTTAATTTAATAATAAATGAAGTATTACTTTACTAAAAAAACTAAAATAAAATTATTTTTTTAAAAAAAGATATTTTAAATATTATTACTATTAATTTATAATATTAAAACTTCAGCCATTTTGAGTTTATATAAACTCAAAATGGCTTAGATTAGACTATAATAGTCTCAGATATGTGTCATGATAACAGAAATGCGACACCGTCATCAGTATTATAATGATAGAAATATGATATCATCATCAGTGTTGTAATATATATTTTATGACATATTTTTGATAATAGAAATATGATATCATCATTAGTGTTATGATATATATTTTATGACACATTTTTGATGACAGAAATATGATACCATCGTCAGTGTTGTGATATATATTTTATGACACATAAATAGGTTATGATACTTTAGCCTAGTCCTTCTATATTTTTTATTATAACCCAAATTCAATAATATTACTTGTATGCTGATTTGGTAATTATAGCCAATTTCCATCATTATGTCATATGGGTAAAAAAAAATATATACCTGATGATGCATTTAGTCATGTGTTATTATGCTATATACATGTTATCAGATCATGTTATTGCGAGTTTTCTTTAAGCACTTCTGATTTTTCTGTCATTTTCTCTAGCTTTTTCTAGTAATAATGTTTCATATTTCAATACTTACCACCATGCCTTGTACATATTGCTAATATAAAAAAAGTTAACTTGCCATACTTTTTACATGGTGTATACATAGAAGAATTTCTATTAATATAACAGTCTTCAATTTCATATTTCTCATTGTATACTTCTTCATCACCAAATAGATCAATCATATTTATGCTAAATTCTTTAATAATATATACCACATAGAATATTTAATAAAAAAATTAATGCAATCAGAACATGCTATATATATGCTAAATACGTAAGCATTCTCACTTCATGAGTCAACTATATTATCAAATATGCTACCAAGGAATACTATCAACTTTGCTATCAAAAATCTATCAAAATATAATTATTCATGTTCACTATCCTAGAATGCAATTAAAATCGATCTGTTCATATCCCAATAAAAAATCTGTCCTGATTTTATCCTAGTAAAAAAATATTAACTGGGATGGATTCGATATAGGAGAAAGATTTAAAATTTTTTTTTATCTTGTTCTTTTATATTTATTATATATTCATCCTAGTTATTCTAGTAAAAAGTAATAATCTAGGATAAATAAAATTTATCTACTCATGATACATTTATATTATACATAATAATATATATGGTTATATACATATAATATATACTATATATACCTATAGATAAAAAAAGAAAAAAAAATAAGAAGATCAAAAATTTACTAAGACAACTAGAACAACTGGAATGGATATTCTAAATCTTTTTTATTTGGCTTGAAATTATTGTCAGATATATTTTTTTTCATCCTAGTTTACGTCCTAGAGAAAAATTTATCCCAGTTAGAACTTCAAAAAATATAGATATCCTGCATATCACACATACATATATTAATTTTCAGTAATACTTAACTATACTAAGATATCGCATATATACTTACTATATATTTTTTATGATCCTTTAGAATCATCTCTTCAGACCTGCAGAGTAATAGTTCTTTAAACCTATAATACTATTTTATGCCATCTTCTCTAGCTTTTTCTGCTGATATCAATCCTGTCTTTGATATTTATTTATATAAGTATCACAATAATTATAATCAGAATAAGTCAACTTATCATAAGATACGCATGATGGAGAATTCTAATGAACTTTATATCCTTCAGGCTAATAACAATCTCAATTGCAAACTTTTCCAGTCCTAAGAATATAGAAGTAACAATAAAATGCTATATTTATATAATTTTGATATAATAGTTATTATCTACTGATAACTATTCTTTAGAATTAATTTTCATTTTGAACTTTTTTTTCCAGAATAATATACTAGCAGTAAAAGATACTTACTATGAATATCCAATATTTTCAAGAAAATATCGATCACGTGTTAGCAGAAGTGAAAGTATCACCTTCTTATTCAGAGAGCCCAGAAAACTTAGAGAATTTTGAGCTGGAGATAAAGATAAAGGAAGAAAATAGCAGATGTTATATCACTGGAGGTTTAAAGCTTTTTCTCAATCACAGATTTCAGAAAATGAAAAAACAGAAAAAGGCTAACTTATCTAATATTTTGGTGAAAGTTATTTAATAGGATTTTCAACTCATGATAATATAGTTGCAGAAAATAATGAGGGTTTATCTGCAATTTTTAATAATACTTTGGCTAAACAAGAAGAGATTCCTTTTATGGCTGTTGATTTTGAGGGATCATTAGAAAAAATAGGTGAAAAAAATCATTATATTTTACATCTTTACAGCTTTCTCATTAATAGTCAAAAAGTAGTAGTTACTCTTACAGGAATCCAGATTTTCTTTGATATACTTGTATCTGAGAATAAAACTGTAAATGAGTTTAGAAAAAAAATAAATGAAATTCTTAGTAATATGATAAATATCTATAAAATAGAATATATTAAGGCCTTCCTCTTGCATGGTTATCATACAGAAAAAAAGTCATATTTATAAATTTTTACACTTGGTAGTAGAGATAGGAAGAAAGCTCTCCAAGCTATCCAAGTTAATAATTTTGAAACTACTTCAGATGATATGTTCTCATTCCACCATAAAATAGCTAGAGAAAATGAAATTGTAATTTCTGGTTGGTTTATGATAAGCAAGTATAGATATAAGAAATATTCCTATTATATATATGATTTTCAGGTTTCTATAAATAATTTTTAACTGGTAGAAGATCTAAAAATAATAAGTGACTATTTTCTGATTTTAGCACTTATGAGAGATCATATACTTATCTTTACATGAGATATAGAGATATAATCATGAGAATTAGGTGAATTTGCTAAAATACATGATGAAAAAAATGTTGTATTTATAATTTGTATGACCTTACATTGGAAAGATGATCCAAGACTGTTAAAACAAATCTGTCTTGTTAATTTTGAAACTGCACCAGATCCATGATGGATAACAATTGTATGTGGAAATCAGACAAATTTACTAAAAGCATTTGCATTATGCTAGAAGGTCTTCCTCCCTGATATTCAATTCGGATTTAGTAATTCCAAATACGATTGGCTATTTATTATAGAAAGAGCTTGCAGACTTAATTTTCTTGAATAGATGTGAAAGCAAATGACAGGAACCTTTAAATCATCTAAAGAAATTCAAAAATAGAACTATTATGGGAAAATAGAGGTAAAATCTAAAAATAGTTTTCAAATTAAAAAAGATACTACTGATAATAATGAGAAAGAAAATGATAGGGTATAGCCAGTTATAATCAAGATTAGTCCAGAGGATAATTATATTTCTACTTTTCTTAAAGTATCAGGATATGTACCAATTGACATATGTTCATATTTTATAAAACTCTTCTCTTGTGCAGAAGTTGATAAAAAAAATTCACTAGTATTTTACTTAAAACTATGTAAACTTAAAAGAAAAGCAGATATGCCATATAACAAAATATGGAAAATCTATTCAAAAGTGAAAAAGAGTGTTTTCCTAAATAAATCACATCCTTCTACTATACAAAATATGTGTGAAGTAGCATATTATTGCATTATAGATGCATTACGTTATCAGGAGCTTATAGTTAAATGAAATGTAATTAATGACTATAGGAAGATTACTTCTATAACTTATGTATTTTTGTTTAATTCACATTATCATGTAAATAGGCTGAAAGTATGAAATCTTCTGGATGCTTATACTTTCAAGCATGATATAGTATTTAGTACAAGAATATGTGAAAATATAAAAAAGAGAAAATTTTCTGATGCATACATTTTTCTACCTAAAAAAGGTATAGAAATGGAAAGACCAGTAATGGATCTGGATTTTACATCTTTATATTTCAGCCTTATTATGACCTATAATCTCTCTCCAGAAAAAATTATATTAAGTCCAGATGAGGCTAATATTATGCAGAATAATAGAAATAACTTGCATAAGATTGAGTTCCCATTTAATAACCATATTATCCATGCTTAGTGTGTAAAACATGATAATTAATTTGAGAAGAAGAGTTTATATCCTATTATATTAGAGGATTTATTCAACAAAAGAGTAAATCTTAAAGCACAACTTGTCTCATTAGAAAAGAAAAGGAACGCCTTAGAAAAATGATAAATTCAGTTAAAGAGAAAGGTAAAAAAATTCTAGAAAGATTAAATTTAAAACACTCATCTATATATTTCAATTATAATTATTTAGATTCAAAATAAAAAGTTTTAAAGATATATATGAATACTTTTTATGGGAAAGCAGGAAACTCAAAATCTCCAATCTTTCTTCATGAATTAGCTGGAAGAACTATTTCAACAGGAAAATATAATCTTAATCTTGTCACTGAATTTGTAACAAAAAAAGGGT